TAAACTATGCATGATAGTAGTAGTTTAACTACTGACTGAAGTGTGAATAGAAGAGACCAGAAACATTAGTAGAAAATTTTGAAAGCCAATATTTTAGATGTAAGACAAATGATAGAAGAAGTAGAGATTGTTCTCATTGTGCCCATTGTTTTTCTAAACAAGCTACTATGTGTTTAGAAAAGTCTTTATTTTTGCAATCTGCAAAAACTTTGACAAGCTACCCAAAGCAATGCACGATTTTAAAAAGTTTTGTAGCATTTTTTTGAAAATTGGGTTAGCATGGTAAATAATGAAGAATTAGTTAATAACGAAATTACAAATGATGAAGAGCTTGAATTTAAATTAGGTAGATGCATTATTTATCTTGCAAATGATCTATCAGCAAAATGAAGTTTACTAGAATTATTTAATGATTTGTTAGAAGCTCCTGTTTCTTTTAAACTTTAAATAATTCATATTACTTCATAGCATTAGAAATAGTTTTATTACTATTACATTTTGAATTTATGTAATAAGTAGACAAATACTAATTTAGTTATAAAAATTAAAAATATATGACTTAGTTGCACAAAATACATTTTATAATTTTATATTTTATTAGAAAATGGTACTATTTAGTCTATTTTAAATTTTAAATCATGTAAAATTTTATTTAAAGTTTAATTGTATAAATAAATAAATATAAATTAGGATAAGTATATAATCTACATAGTTGAATAAATAAACAGTACAAATGAATTATTTATAATATTGTAAAAGATAGTTTATTAATTTAAAGTTTAGCACTAAAACTTGAATTGTCAGGTTTTTAAAGCTATATTTATAATAAATTTATACAATTAAATAATCTGATTAATTATCATTATATACAACATGTTATTAATTTTATTTATATAACTGATCAAGAAACTATAACCAATTATAGTTCATACAGTATTTTTGTATAATAATGCTTATAAGTATTATTTCAAATAATGGCCTGAATTAAGCTTAATATAGGCCAAAATTTGAAATTACACCCCTGTATATTATTATATGAAAATATGATATCTATAATAGAGTAAAATTTTTAAATAACCAAATAACCTAACAGATCATTTTATCTTTTAAATAACTACTAGTTATTATTCATTTGAGTTATTAGATTATTTTAGGTTATTTACTATTCCTAAATAGTAGTGCAAGGACCTTACATTGTGATTAGACTCTGTAGCTACAATAGCAATACAAGGATCTTATGTTGTGATTAAACTCTATCTGCAATAATTAGTACAAGATCTTATGCTTGATAATTAAGCTTCATAACTATGATAGCGTACAAGGATCTCATATTGTAATTAAACTCTGTAGATGCAATAGCAATGCAAGAATTCTGTGTGATTCGACTCTATGGCTGCTATAAGTAATAAAAAACCTCATATTTGGTAATTAACTACAATAGCAGTGCAAGAATCTTATATTGTAATTAGGCTCTGTAGCTGTAATAGCAATATAAGAACCTCATATTGTGATTAGACTCTATGGCTGTTGCAGGCAATACAAGATCTTTATATTTGGTAATTAAGCTTTGCAACTATAATAGTAGTACACAGATCTTACATTGTGGTTAGGCTTTGTGGCTGTAATAGCAATACAAGGGCCTCATACTGTATTTAGGCTTTATGACTACTGCAAGCAACACAAAAACCTTATTTTTGGTGATTAAGCACTGCAACTATGATAATAGTGCAAGGATCTTATATTATAGTTAGGCTTTGTAGCTACAATAGTATTAATTAATCAAAATTCAACTAAATAAAAACCAACAATAACAAGTTTCATACTTACTGAATATAGTTAAGTATATTGTATAGTTTAAAAAAAAAATTTTTTGAACCAAAAAAAACTATATAATCTACCCTAAGCTATACCTTATTAAAAAAAAGTTAATAATAATACTTTCTTGCTAAATTCTATATAATATTAACTTAATTTTTTTCTCAATATATTTTATCTGCTCTTGCAGTCAGTTTGGGTTTACTTTTTAATTTATTTAGTAACTCTTGCTATTCTTTTTTAGTTCTAAATACTACTCAAGTTTGTTTACATAAAGCCTTATTTATAAGTAGCATTTTTCAAAGTGAGATGTATTTCTTTTAAAACTTTAGTGTAATTTTGTCCTGACATATATAAAGCACAAAACAATTGGCAAAGAACAAGATGAAAAGTTTTATTTAAAAAGATTCTACAAATATATATACGCATGTACAATAAGTAAATAAAAGTCTATCTAATAGAATTTAAACAATGCTGCTTACTTAACTAATTACTCAATAATAACTAGTACAAATTCAAAAAGTACTATAAAAAGAAAATGTTGTGTAAATATTATTATTATTAGGTTTAACTAATAAGACATATAAGCGATGAATATAAAAAAAGATTAAAGAGATTTAAATATGTAAAAAATTTGTGCATCTCTAATTATGATCATTGTATATTTTAAATCTCCTTACATTGAAGATTAATCAAATTCAGACATGTCTGTGAATTTCAAACTGAACTTCAAACTGAACCAAACTTGGTTAAAAAGTTCGTCAAACCAAACATAATCTTGAAAAAAGTCCAAGTTTAAGTTTGGTTTAAAATCAAACCAAACTTAGACTCAGCTAAAAGTTTGGTTCAGTTTAGTCCAATAGGAGCACTACTTAGTAGAATACAATTATGTATTTTGTTTTGTTTATCAATACAGTGCTATAATACAAGAAAGAGACTGGTACTTTTGTTTAGAAGATACTCAACTTTGTTAATATGTTTGAAACAAGTCTATGATAATAAAGTAAAACTTTATTAGTGAAATATATTAATTAGTTGCAATTAATATATAATTTTTTAGACCTTAGTACAGATATAAATATGCTATTAATACTGTTTTTTTTTTTTTTTTTGATATTTGTATTTTTTTTTTTTTATACTTATTCTTCTTGTTTTTTTTTTTATTTTTATTATGTTTTTTTTATTAAATTACTTCTTTTTTTTGTCTTGTACTCTTTGAGAAAAAGAAAAAATTAAAAGAAAAAGTAGATAGTCTTGACAAGACTAGCAACTACTATTCTAGAATCTGATAGATATATTTTCAGTAAGTTAAAAGCCAGAAGTAAGAAAAAAAGTTGCTATAGCAGATTATATCTGGGTATCTTAGAGCAACTGTGTGAGATTTTATTATAAAGAGAGAGAATATAGGCTTTAGCCAAATACCTTTGTATAATTAATACATATCTCTTAAATAATAAAAGCAGAATTGCCAAATTTTTTAAAAAAAAAAAAATATATTAACACTATTATATATTATAAATTAATTTTTACTTGTAAAATTTGCTATTTAGGCTTTAATACTTATTTTTTTTTTTATAATCTGTACTCTTGATTTTTTTAAACCTTTAATTCAATTAGTCTAATAAAATTAGTTTGTCTGGACTTAAAATATTTTATAATTTTTTTTCTTGATATTTACTTTTAAAATATACAATATATATATATTTTTAATATAAGTTCTAATAATTAAATTAATAGATTTTTTTAAAAAAAATTTCTTGTTATTTAATTTTAATAACATTTTAGAAGTTTAATTCTATTTTATAATGCTATTAAAAATTTTTATTACTTTTTTTTAAAAATTGTTAAACTAGTTTTAGGTTTTTAAATTCTCTATATTAATTTTATATAAAGCTATATAAAATTAATTAATTGGTTTTTATAATCTAGCCAGATCAAATTTAAAAATTTTTAAAAAAGTTTTTTATATGTTTTAATTATTAAATAGGTTTTAAAAAAAAATTTTATATAAATTTTATAAAAAAAAAGCTAACTAGTTATGTTTATTTAAAAGTTTTATATTATGAAAACCAAGTATAGTTAAATCTCTCTATAGTTATACTCTTAAATTCAAGAAATTTTGTGCTTATAAGCAATTGTGTCTGTAGAGGTCAAATTTTTATATTTTATATAAGTTTGTTTTAAATATTAATATGCTTATAAAGAGGGTGTAACTATATAAAGAGTAACTATATAGAAAGCAAACTGTAATTAAATTTGTATGTCCTAATTTTTGAAATCTAATTATAGATTTGTATTAATTATTAGTTTGCATTTCTTTGTACAACTCAAATATTACACAAATATATCTAAATCTTTCAATATACATACTATATTGATATAACCAAAGTTACAAATAATAAAACCTAACTTATTAATAAAAATCTGTTACTATAGTACAAATATTTTTGTTTAAACTATTTTAGTAAAATTTGTACTTAATCTCTTAGTTACAAGTAACTTGAGAGTGTAACAACCCTACTACTACACTATTTTATTTTATTTTTATAAAAAGAAACTACAGTAAACAATAAATAAAAAATAAATATAATAAATAATAAATATTAAGTATTTATTGGGAATCTGTTGTAATTTTTAAGCTTTCAGAAAATAAATAATTTAAGTAGTTTTTGAAATATAAAAACTATAGTATTAACACTACTAACAAAACTATTAAGAAATATAGTAAACATTTAGTTTATAATAAAAAATATAAAAATCTAAATTTAAATAATTTATTTAAAAATAAATATCTAAAAATCTTAATTTTCAATTTTTAATTACCAGAGTAATAAATACAATAGCAAATTTCAATTACTATACATTTTTTGGTTTTGTTAATTACTGTATCTATTTTAAAAATTACTCAAATAGATATTTAATTTATAAAAAGAATATAGCAACATAAAATATGTATACATCAATTAAATTTTAAAACGAAGTTAAAGATTTATAATAATAGTTCTGAATAAATCTTCTAATACTGTAAATTAGTAAGATTAAAATTCGAAATTGAGGATTAGACCATTGACAAATGCTTACTCTTGATTAAATTTTATTAATTTATCCGCTTTACAATAATTGTACACTGAGAGGAAAATATTTTTATATGCACTTACCTTTGAGGATTAATTATACTCTGGCCGTTACTGTGGCGGTAATGACCTTTTTGCTAGCACTCTTATATTATTTAGAAAAACTTCAATTATATCTAAATAACGATTACTCTGCTGTTTCTCAATCTTAAGTCTTTCCTCAAGCAAGATTCGTGGATTCAGAAATTCTACTTCGAGTTCATGAGTCAAATCCGGAGATGGTTGGGTACCATCAGGTAATTTTTGTTTCTAATGATTATAAATATAAATTAAACGAGAATAATAAAGAAATAGCGATAAAAATACAAACCTCAGGGCCCTTGACCTGAGTTAGATCGATTTTAAATAATTGATGGATATAAGATAGTCTGTCTTTATTCCGTTCATGGACAAGCTGACCATTAGGCATATCCACAAGTAATAATTAGAATATAGATCATCACTAAGAGACTTTATGAATATTTATAAATAACAATGAAATCATATGATTACTTGGTTTTTCGATGTTTATGGAGATACGATAATCAAGGTGAGTATTAGGGGAATAAATATTTAGATGTGCAACGTTTGTTTTTTTAATAATTCCGCCATCAATAATCTGAAGGTTTAATTTATTTAATGAAGTTAGATCACGATATCAATTTTAACTAGTTATTTCAGAACAAATCTCCAAACCTTATTAGTCTTTTGGTCTATAGTGACTCTGACTTTTCCGGCTCCAGTTCCAGAGTAAAATCTATCAGTTTCATAAAGATGTTTGTATTCTACTGAGCCACCCTATTTCGATGAGAATCGAATTATTATGATTCAAAAAAAAAACAAAGTAAAACGATAACTATAGATAATATATACTTTATAAGGTGGTTTTGTTTGAATCACACGTTCATTTAATAGATTGTTGAAATTGCGATGTTGAGCCTAAGAAATAAAATCATCAGGGTTAATTAGAAGGTTAATCATTATTTGAATTATACACAAAAAAAAAAAAAAAAAGGTACAGTTGTCATGTTACTCTGAAAAGTGAACCATCCATCATCATAAGGACTAATAACTATAATTTAAAAATAATCTTTAGAAATAACGTGGAAATAAGTATTATAGATTTATCAATTCTCACCAGTTTCACTTATAACAGGTAAATTCACTCGCGTTTGCATGTTTTTATTTACAAGTATACCCAATTTAGCTTCTATCTAAATGCCCAATAATTTCAGAAATCAGTAAATTTAATAGTTACAAATGTTGAATTTAACAATTAAACTATGACCACCTCTACGTTTTCTTTGCCAATATGATTATATAGGAAGTCACCTACTACTTTTGTAATATCGCTAGTAGGTTGAAACCCAAAAATTGATGGCTCCAATATTTTTGGCAAATAATATCTGGTACTTTCATGGTGTACTACGGAATCATCTGTATTGGAAGTGCTTGGATCAGATCTAGTATTGTCTTCATTTTGAGAGTGATATCCAAGCTTTTCATTACTTGTCATGATATTTGTGAATGCTTAAAAAAAAACAAAATTAAGAATAATGATCGAACAATTATTTATAGCGACTCACTAAACTATTTCGGGAATTCATACATTGTTGATCAGAACCATGAATATTCATCTGTTTGTGCACGTGATTTTATATAACGATAAATGAGTCTGCAATCTTTTCTTTTTTCCGATTTAAAAAAAAAAATCAAAATTTTTTTGGTAATAATGAATCACAGCATAAAGGTTTTTATATTATGCAAATTAACCACATGAATAATGTGATTGATCATTTATTTTATTTTGTCTAATTCAGAGACCTATGAGCCAAAAAAAGACGATAATTTCTTTGGCTAAGAATGGCGTTGGAGCATTTGTCTTTCCATGTCGAAAAATTGAGTTCACATATTGTGAACGTAGTGGAAGTAGTCGTGGAATGATGTAAAATATATTATTAAAAATATATATATATATGTTTTTTGTGTCGATGATGAAACTTTACGCTGTATAATGATTTCTTATTCTATGGTAACTAGTGGATATTTAAAGACTCGTTTGATTCCATTCGCCAGGAAAAATCCACAGATTGAGATTGTGGTAACACCTAGACCTTCAAAACACCCATTCGTTCGCGGATTATACTGTTAGTTTTATCAATGGATTACTTGATTCTTTAATAAGTTTAATAGATTTAATGAGCATCTTCTTTAATCATTCTAGTAAATGGTAGAGAAAAAGGAATAAGTGTAAGGAATAAGACCCCCGAAGAAATCGTGGAAACAGTGAATCTTATACGTGATAATACGGGATTCAAGAACAATAAAAGGTTCAAGAAACCAGTAATATCTACTACTCCAAGCGTTAGAGGAATATGGAGTCCTTTTAACACCCAACCTCATAAAATCTAGATCAGGCGAGTACCTCTAGTAATTCAGTAAAGAATTTACTAATTTTTTTCAATTAATAGAGATAATTCTTTATGTTGCAAATCAATCTACTATAGTATGACTCAGGCGACCAAATGAATGAATATATTATTATGTTAATATTTTAATATAATTTGTTGTCGATCAAAATTTGTCGGCTAGACTTAGCTAATAAATTTTATCCGCCTGGTTGGTTAATTAAATCCCGTATAGTGTTTTAATCGATTCTCATCTCAAAAAGTCACATCTATCCGAGTTCAAGTTATACGTATTATAGAGTTACGAAATAAATTCTCAAAATCATGTTTTACTTTTTATTTAACAAAAACAAACAAAATTTTATAGCCAAAATTTCTTTAACCGATACCAAATAAACAAACGAACGAAGCAAACTTTAATTTAGTAAAAACAATAAAGAATGAAACAATGATTCGTAAGTAATTGAATACTTCAGAAGATGGCGTGTTAATACTAATAATAGTGATATTAAGAATAGTTTTCAATGGATATTTATGGAAAAAGGTATGAACAAAGTATATTGCAAAAAAAGAAAATGCTAATATCTTAAAATATTACTATGACCATTTAGTTTATTAAGTAAAAATGTTTAGCACCAAATTTTACATATATACTTCATGTCTTTTTAAAATATAGTATATGGACAATAGTGATCATGAATATGAACATGCCCAAATGCATAATGCTGATTAAGAATACTCAATGTTCATTGAAAAATTAAAGACTTTTCCTACCAACAAATGTGTAACTTGGTACGTACATGAATTAAATCGATTAGTTGATTTTTTAAAAAAGTCGGCAAATAAGGCCACGCAAATTTAATTTATTTGTTCTCGTAACATGAAATTTTTAAATAGACCCGGCCGGTCGGCTTTTTTTTTTTTTTAATTTATATATATATGGCAATTTATAAAATTTTTTATAAATTTTTTTTAAAAACTCACCCGGTTATTTAAAACATATAAAAAATTTTTTACAAAAATTTCAAAATTTGTCCCGGCCGGGTTACCAGAACCAATTAATTAACTTTGCATGGCCTAAGCTGAAATAGGTTTAATTATTTTCTAATTAGTTGTCACTAACAATAGTAACTTTTAATACTGTGACCCGTTTTCCATGTAGAAATGTACGCGCACAACACTTAGTCTCCATCTCCAATATCTATATCTGATATCACTCCTATTGAAATATATTTATATAGCACAAAACTTTGCAAGAGGATACAAAAGTAAATGGGTGCTACTAAGGTAAAACCAAACTTTGGGGTTTTAAGTTTATACAAATATTTGCTTTCTTTTAAATATAATTTTCAAGGATCTAACAGCTATAATTGAATGACTTTTAGTACCATTCAATTCTTCTCATTGTGAAAAATCGAATGGCATCAAAATTAATTCAATTATGATTACTGGCCATATTTTATTGGCCACAATAACCCTTTGCCTTATGTACGTAAAGAGGAATTTTATAAAATAAACACTGCGGATTGTTGATCGCGTGCACATGATCAAAACTTCAAAGATCCGTATGGTACATTTACGTACGTATGTAGGGGAATTAGAGTTCTGCAAATGCTGTCATGACGATAGTATCGTGCCCTTGTAGAACCTTAGTAGTGGTGGGAATGTTAATTTTCCGGTCCGGTTTGGATTTGCTCCTAGTCTGAGGAAGATCCAGACTTAGTCTAACCTTAGCCTGAAACAGGTCCAGACCGGTCTCAGACTAAGGTTCAGACAAATTAACATCCCTAATTGCTATCTTTAGGTGCATGATTAGATCTGATATATCAAGATTTTCTTTTTAACCTTATATATAAATATATATTTTAATAATGACAATTTTGATAAAAGAAATTTCTTCGCATACCATTACTATTTTCATAAAAGGAAAATATTTGTATAGAGAACGGAGCATAGTAAACTATAGTTATTTGTAAAAATCATTTAAATAGATCAAATGAGAAATATCTATCACTAACGCTAAGTAAATTCAGTGTACCTAACAATGAGATAATAATGTTTTTTTAAATTTCTATTATTATGATCTGGATAGATTCTTTTATGATGTGTGAAAATCAGGCAATGACACATAATTGTGCATTTATTATTTAATACCAAACCATCATAACCGTCATGATAGACAAAGCAACTTTTCATAAAAAACTTAATCGACATGATATCTTCAGTATATATTAAGGTATGATCAGTGTTTCACCTTGACTGGTTGAAATTAGTATTTTCGTTCGTTTAAAACTTTTGTTATTTACCGCTTTAATATAAGCTTCATTTTGGTGTCTCTGTAATTTATATATGCAGTTACCGTAGTGTAACTCTGATATTAATTCTTGCATTAATCTCATTACTATGTTCGTACGTATATATTACTTTATGAATATCACCAAATAAAAACCCGGAAATCTTATCTATAAATAATTTTTGATTTGGCGACACTCATGTGTATCTACGTACATACCAGATACGTACGTACGTCCCTTTTCGCGCGATGATGTATAAATGATTTGTTGACTATTATTATATGACTAAGATTTATATTTTGCCATGATTTTAATCTTTGGTTATACAAATAAGATCAAATAAAATACGACATCTACCGTTATATTTATTATGCAAATATTGTGATGCACAGAATCAAAATATATAAATATATAGTACGTACAGTACATGCCTCTTTTATTCTATTTTTTGTTTCTCGACGTTTTTTTTTTTTTTTACCGATACTATAATTATATCTTAAAAAATGGAATCTCAATTTGATTACCATGGGGATACTAATACTGATGTGGTGATTCAAGTTGGAGAAGAGCCTGATATTATGACGTTTTTGGCCCATTCTGGCATCTTACGAAAGAAATCCCCATACTTTTATACTGCTTTGTCAAGCACATGGGCAAAAAGAGAGGGTGAAAATATTATACTGAAAAAACCAAATATATCTCCTACAGTTTTTTCTGTAATATTAGAGTAAGTTTTTATTTATTATTTATTTATTATCATTATTATCATTATAAATGATTATTGATTATTATTAATTATTATTATTATTATTTTACCTGATTGTTAATCTTTATTTTTAGATATTTTAACACTAATAATATACGATTAAATCATTATGATGGTTCAGTAGTACTCGATATTCTGATAGCTGCAGACGAATTATTGATAGAGAATAATCTACTTTCATCTATTCAAGAACATCTTATACGCGATAAATCTGAATGGTTACAAAATCATTTTGCCCTTGTTTTACATACAGTATTTGAGCGAGATGCATGTAAAGAACTACGTTTCTATTGTATGGATAAAATCTGTTGGAATCCAAACATTGTATTCAAATCCCCTGAATTTTTAGACTTCGATAGTTCAATTTTGATTCACATACTTAAACAAGACAACTTACAAATAGAAGAAATTGATATTTGGGATAATTTGATTCGTTGGGGAATTGCTCAATCATCTCCTTCGGATCCAGATATTTCAAAATGGTCCAAAGATGATTTTATTAATTTACAAGAAACATTAAAATATTTCATTCCACTTATTAGATTTTCGGAACTTTCTAACGAATATTATGATAAACTTTTTCCATTTAGAGACATTCTTCCTTTAACTTTAGAAAATGATATAATAACTTTTCGTGAAAGTAAATATCTTCCAAATTCTATGTTACCTCCTCGTAATCCAATAATCTCTATAGATAGTAATATAATTTTACCTCAACAAACGTTAAAGATTCCAGAATGGATTGATCAAGTACAAGCACAAAAAAAAAACGTTTCTGTATCTTCTTCACGCCTTATTTATGAGTTTAAATTATTGCTTCGCGGTTCTCGTGATGGATTCACCCCACAAACTTTTCATGAAAAATGTGATAACACAGGACCAAATTTAGTAGTTCTTAAAATTCATGGTGATAATCAAGTTATTGGAGGTTATAATCCAATCGGATGGCGAAGTTTGAAAACACAAAGATGGCAATATACAAAAGAAAGTTTTTTATTTTCGTTTGGAAATCGTGGAAATCTCGATGACGCTAAATTGAGTAAAATTCAACCTGGAAGCGAAGCTATATATGATGATCCTTCATTTGGTCCATGTTTCGGAAAAACAGATCTAGACATGCGTAGACATTTTAATGAAAAAGACAATTGTTCTGCTAAAAAACGATGTTATAAGCATACTATTATTAATTCTACCAAATTTTCTGTGGAAGATTATGAAGTTTTTCATGTTTCTTGTCACATGGTAAGTGCAGAATAAATGATTCCTCTAATTTAGGATTTATACAATTTGAAAGAACTATTTATTTACATTCTTAAAGAAAAATACTTAATCACTTTAATTATTAATTATTTGTTTGTAGCTTTAACGAATTTAGAACAGCTTTTTTGTATATATTTTTTTTCTCTGATATTACTGCGAGAGGGGGCAATACACATAACCTTAATAAATTAATTTATTATTTATTTAAACATCATTAAATCCTTGTTAACTTGCTAAAACGCGTAATTCTTCCTATTTATTCCGAATCACCCGAAAAAAATTATTAATGATATAATTAAAAAAAATTTGAAGTCGAATATCATGTGTAAATGTTCTTTCGCGTGGGACATTTAATTGACATACAAAACGTCTTAATGCTAGTCTAATATGAATATTTTTTAAAAAGAATTACTTGGATTACAAGATTCAAATTGTATATAAAGATATGTAGCTACTTCGTATAAAAAATTTAAACAAAAATTATCAATTACTTATTTCAAACTGGTTCTATGCACATGAAAATTTAATCTTTAATTAAATAATCGTAGGTATTTGAAGGTTCTAAATTATTTAACTTTAAATAGATTGTTAATGAGTTGAGTTTGGTTGGTTTGGTTTGAAATTAGTCAACCAAAACCAGTCTGGAGCACTAAGTTCTAATATAATACTCCAGTTTTGTATCTGGTTAGGATCTAGATTGAATATTCTATTTAATATTATTATTTTATAACTCACTCCAATCTAGTTTGGATTCAAACCGAGCGCTCCAGAATATGATACTCAATTAATATCCCTATTGTTAAATGCCCAAACTCTTAGTTTCAGAGCCAGTGTAAGATGTATCTTGTTCTTATTGGCATTTCTTCCTCTCACCACTACTAGTCACAGTAGTTAATGCCAGCTTCGCTCAGTGTGAAAATTACCTTATTACATTACACCTGATCACGACTTTTCGTTGGTTGATTGTCACGTGTAGTTTTCTTACCAAATCAAGCGATATTACGGTGCATGTGATGGATCCTGTGAAACTTTCGATAAGGAACGTGGTTGTTTGAGATTTTGATGCATAACGATAACGATAACAGATAAATTGATCAAATCTTTAATCAAATTTCTTTCAAACCCTATGCTCATTCAGATCCCATATCTGATATATACTAAAAATATAACAATGTGTTTAATATTTTTAATATACTGTAACATATAAGTATGTAGAATTCAACTCGTGATTTGTGAATTAAGCTCAGAAGAGTACTCGAATCATTTGATTGAGTTAAATTATTCGAATCACAAATTATTTAAATTACGGTTTATAAAAGATGACATAGGTGCCAGCTTCGGTCTTTGAAAAAAAAACTGATCAGTGACATTAGTCTTCTAATAATTCAATTAGGGGTCTGCAAGCCGGGCCTATACTGCCTAATAAAAAAAGTATAGACACAGGCATAGGTACAAAACCTTAGGCACGGGCATGCATAGACGCAAAAATTTAGCACAGCCATGGACACAGGTACAAAAATTTGGCCAAGAACTTTGTAAGTAGGGATTTGCAAGTTAGCTCATGCCCATACTTAGCAAAAAACACAGGCACATTCAATCGTGATTCGAGCACTCTTCTGAGTTTAATTCGCGAATCACGAGTTGATACGAGTCCAGTCACTAGCACAAGGCCCAGCGTCTGGCTTGATGCAATATTCCTGGCATGGGCATTTGCAGATCTCTATTTTCAATGATTAGATTTTTCGAGGTTGAATCCGATAAATAATAATCTTGATATATTTAACATATTTAACGTTAAAAATTACTTGAATGAATTATTTTGATTCGCAAATCTCATGAATCATAATTCGAATCATGATGAATTCAAATTATTAATCGCTAAGTATGTACATTTACATACGATAATCTTGTCAGTTATTTGTGTACAATAAAGCCCATATTAAGTTAGAATTAGTAAGTTTTTACAATGGCTGGCTTTCTTACAACGAGTTCGACCCTTTAAAGGTTGTAGTGAATAACTCAGTTACACACGGGTTCATATTCCGTGCCGAAGGCACGGGATCTAAATATGAAATCGTGTGTGTAACTGGATATTCATATAATAACTAACTTATTGCACGGTGTCTGTGGTAGTGATTTGAACCTGTTGGCAGGATCGATGTATTATGAAAATGATACAAGGAGCAAAGGTTCCGAAAAGTTCCAAAAAGAAAATGAATGAACATAAAAGACGAGCTAGTTACAAAAATTTGAGCAAAGCTCCGAGAATTTCCGAAGATAAAACGAAAAGTAGAGATAGTTACAGCTGATTTGAAAATTAGTGGGACACTTGAAAATTGAAACCTTTCGATTCGTCTTATAAATCATCTAACTCTTCAGAAATCACGTCAGCTGTCTTCGAAACTTCGATCCGAAAAATTGTGATGCGATTTCCAAAGGGTTAGATGATTCGTAAGACGAATCCGAAAGGTTTCAATTTTCAAGTGTCCCACTAATTTTCAAATCAGCTATAATCTCAACCGATTGACAACCAGTTGAATAAAATAATTCTGTTCGGTTAGTCGATTAAAGAAATTTTTGTCGGTTCAAATCACTACCTCCAGATGATGATTATGTGCATGCAAATATATTGCTTTCTGAGTTTAGTATCTTAATTAGATAAATTTAAATTTTGAGTAAAATTGTCATAATGTAATTTTTGTTTACGATGACAGTAAAGAAATACAGTATATATCTACTTGAATATCAGAATGTCGCAAAGATTTTAAAACTTTCCCATGCAAATATGTTGGCTTTTGAATCTAGTACCTTAATTAGATAGATTTAATTTTTAAATGTAATTTTAGTTTATAATTTACGATGACGGTAAAATAATATTTACTTAAAATCAGAAGGCCATGAAGGTTTTAAAATTCTTCATAATTTCTTGGAGAATAATAGTTCCAAATCTTCATAGATAAAATGTATTCAGTAAAATTTCTTTCGAAAAACTCGCCGAATCAGATTAGTATTCATTAATAATTTTAACACTTTACTATAACTCGCAATTGAAAAAATACACAAATAAATTTTTTTATCTATTATAAATTTGCATAGATCAGATTCTTATACTAGAATACAAAGCAAAATTTCTCGCAAATGATTAATCACTGCTTACACATCTTCCTTGTATTCAAAATACAAACCGAAATTTCTCGCAAAAAGAATCTCAATGCTTATGTGTAATCCTTGTATCCAGAATATAAAGCGAACTTCTCGCAACCCCTTGTATACAGGATACAACAAGTATGACAAGAATTTGTTCAATTTTTTATCATCATGTCTATGAAAAAATGTAACGTTGCGAGAGCGCGTACCTTGTCGAGTAAGTGTCAAATTCTGCATAAAATTTACGCTCATTTTTAATCGATTTTCCTTTTGAATTATCCTGAATATATAAATTCACATGCTAGAATCATATAAACAACGTCATGAAGATATTGTTTCCTATCACTATCTAGTTTTCTAAAGGTATTACAATCATTTTCTTCCGAATGCATGTAGCTAGTCCATGACAAGCCCTAGAGACAGAAGTCATATTATGTGATCCGTTTTGTAAAGTCATACAATAACTATAAAGGAATGTGTCCGGTACAAAATATAATTGAAAGCCTGAAGACAGGTTTTCCCTTAACGACACTCATATGTAACGAGTTTTTACTGACAGAGAGTAAAAGTTGCTAAGATACATTAGAATAAATCAGTTATTATCCGAGATGTGGACATGAAGTGTCATATATTACTGTATTAATTATATGGCATGATTCTATATCATATGACATCATATGACATTATGATACTGTCATCGTTCAAGGAATGAATATGCATGATACTGTACCAGAGTCCTCGGATTTTTGTAGCATCTAAAATAGAGCAAAATAGCTAGCAACAATTGTCTTGTGCTAAGATGCAAATTTTGCTACTTTTGCACTAAATATGTTATTATTACTTTGTTCTTGAACTGATTTACATGAAAGAGTAATTATATGCATATTTTAGATGATGACCGAAGAACTCACTGAAATGATAGATGAAGAACGCACAGAAGAAAAATATGATTACATTAAAATTTATACGTACTTAATAAATATAAATTTATAATAAGCTATATATTTTGCTAAATTTGCTAATTTCACTGGCTATTTTTGCTAACTATTTTTGCTATCAACGTCCGGAGGCCCTGCAATTAATTTATAAATCGGTTACGAGTTTATGTATTAGTTTTAAAATGGCACGTTAATGAAATATAAAAATCTTGACTGGTCAAACAAGCTCTGCCTTGTTCAATAGCTTGCTGCAGCCATTATTAGAGATGTGCCGTATGCATTATGCAAGCGATGTTGCATGCAACATAATTGCTACATTATGCGAGTTGCTTAAAATTAAAAATACACGTAGAAGTTATTATGTAATTTTGACCTATATCATTTCGCCAACAAACATTTTATAGAATGTTTCACTGGCAAGATTATTTTATAGACACATCCGTTATATAAATTTAATGTTTAATTATGTTTTCAAATCTGATAACCTCTCAATAATGATACAAAAATCTGTTCGCCGTGGATATCGGTTTTGAGAGGTCATACAGAATTACATAATGCATCATGCAACTTATGTGATGCAAGGCCAAAAAAACTTGCATTCGCCATTATGTGTATCAGATATATACACTCGACGAATGTATTACTTGATATTATAGTTTTAAAACTTAGAACTCAAATAATATATTAGTTCCTAAGAATAGCATGAAGATTTTGGATTTAGGCTTTCTGGATGGTTGGACGATGTGACAAAAATCAATACAGGACATGATTAATAATTTGGGCTATACATTTCATAGGAAGACTTTCGTATGATTGGCAGTTTAAATCTACATTATTTATACAGTTTAATCACTTTTTGTTTTAGAGAAGTTAGCATAATAGCGACTTCTTAAAGATAGATTGAATTAGGTTATCACCGTGCTAA